GTGAGCTATGTATATATATATAAGGATCTTCTTGTGCAGAGGACTTGCTGCAAGCTTCACTGTTCCTGGAAACTAGTCAAGGACTGCTCGTTGTTTCAGCATCTGTCATTTTGAGTACTTCCTGAGTTGTTGTTGTGTTATAGAAGGATCTTACTTTAGAGAACTATAAATAAATAAATGTAAGATTATGTTTGTTTAGTTTATTTAGTCGTCAATGCTTTTCTTAAATGAAATCTAATATAATACTATTTGTAGTTTACCAGTTATTGTTACATTTCAACAGTTTTTACTTTTATTTTTACTGCACATTTTTGATAGTTGTATTTGTATATCATCTATGTTTACCATTACGTTTACATAGTCATCAAACATGAGAGAATAAGAAATGGAGTTTTATCAGTTTACTATTTAGCTTTCGGAAACTTGTAAATTTGGTGGTAACTAGTACTCAGCCCGTACTACGTAAGGATAAAAATTCACTTACATATACATATAGGCCCTACCTAACTGGTAACTTAAAAAGTTGTGGAAGTTTGAGAGGAAAAATTGTGGAAAAAAAGGTTTGTGTTACCATTTTGCACAAGTTGGAGGATTCAGCAGAATTGAAAAATTTGTTTATTTGGAGAATCTAGTAGAATGCCTCTCTCCACAATTTATCAATTTGATCTCCTAAGAAATATATGTGTTCACCACAACTCTATCGAATTGAAGCTAAACACTGCATCGTTTATGAACAAAACAAACCTACCTACCTACCTTCCCTTACCTTCTCCACTCGCGCTCCATCGACTCTTACTCCTTTAATCCAATTTTACTTTCTCATTCATTTGTTTCTCCTTAGATGCATTTTCAAACACTTTTTCTAGATGCAGGTTTAGATGATATCCGCCAAAAACAGCTATACCTGTTATTCATGATGGAAAGGCAAAAAGTCTCAAAATCAACACTCAACACCTAAGTGAGCGTATTTTTCAGCTTGTAGAATCGATCGTTCCTTTAGAAAGGTCCAAATTGACGCCGATAATGAGGTCTGCGATTTCATTTGACGTTTGACTTATACTGATTAATCTTCATTTGCCCTCTCATTAACTTGATATCTCCTGAGATTCATACTCTGCTTCTTAATAGATGATGCTTCAATGATTTCAGATGTCTTCACTGTTCGTTCATACTGATAAAACTGGTTTGCATAATTGCGCTTATATGATAGATTCATGGCCAGGCAAGCAAATACATAGCCACAATTGTCGTTTTCCAGATCCATTTAAAGATCAGGTAACTCACTCAATCCATGAACCCTCTACTTACATCTTCTAATATAAAAAAAACTTTTCTTGAGTAGTTGTCATGGAAATCTTTTCCAGTGGAGCTCACATTAGCAAGGACACCGCAGCCGTCGCAAAAGAAGTCCATAGCGCCTCTAAAACGATTGCATCCAATATATACGAGAACCTTCCCGTTCTCGACAATCTATGGCTTCACTTTGTGGTAAGAAGAAGAAACAAAAAGAGAGTCAACTTAATCAGACATACAGTAGACGACGATGAGTTGATGCAAGAGAGCATTGATTTTTACTTTGATATGTTGCAGATAGAGAGCACCCACGAGGATGGCTAGGTAGTGTTCCAAAATGTCGATACTCATCGCACTGGGTTGTTCCCAGTTCACTAATTTTGTCACCAGCGAACTAGCGGCCAAGACAAGTTGAATTCTTTTTTGAATTATGTTCACTAATATTGAACGGTGTCCTGTTGATTAATGTTGTGATGGGTTTTGTCAATTAAATATTAAAAGACAATCTTTGCAGTTGAGAGACCACATTTCGTAAACCTTAGAGGAACGAAACGGCTTGCTGATGTCCTCTGTTCTCTAGCACCAGCTCCTTGCACAGCTGGTACATTTCTCTGTTAGAGTAGAATTTTTTGAGAACATTCATGTATTGACTTTTATTATGCATCTGGTAATCACAAAATGGCATAACTCAACGTATACTCAATAGAAATCTGGAAGTTATTTGGGTTGATTGATTAGAAAAAATTGTGAAAATAGATATAGACATTATTGATGTGCTATCTCTTATGAATTTTGATATATTATCAATTTATCATTCTATAATAAGCTTCTTCTGAGTTCTTGCATATTTAACATCTTAGAAGTGGATACAAGGATTCTACACTTTATTGGGATACTTTCAAGTATATTTGGGGCACGACTGAATCCCTTCTTTGGGGAATCTGACGTTTCTTTTTTGGCTTGATTTTCTTCTCTACTTTTGTTTGTTTTCTTAGCTTACTGTTCTCTTTAGTAGCAAATTGCTTGCAGTTGGTGATACACAATCTTGGATTAGACTCGACAAACATGTTTTAAGAGGCCAAAAGTTGCATGGTCGCAAACTCACAGCGTTTGCCTTAACCAGCTTGATTTTTCTTTGTAGGCGATTGTTCATCCCCAACTTGCATCATTGGATCTACTGGGTTTTCAGGTTTAGGAAGGCATACCAACTCGAGAAAATTGTGTTTTTCAAGCTTCGTCAGCAAATGTTAGCTTCACATCCACGATTTCAAATACTTTAGGTTTTTCAATTCATTTTGCATAGATCAGTCTTTGGAATCACTCAATATATTGTATCTTTTTGTAATTCTGTTTATTTTCGTCTCCTATTTTTAATATAGATGCTCGAGTTGGTTTTACTATTTTATAAAATGTTGTAAATTAATATATGGTTCTCCATTTGCTCATGCTATGTATTATCAGTCTTTATCCTTGCTTAATAAGGGTGTTTAGTGTTTAGTATAAACTGGCGTACTGCCATTGATCTTCCACAAACATTATAGGTATAATGCTATGCTCAATGATAGTAGCAATGGCCTCGAGGATTAAGGTCATATACGTGTAAGTGGTTTCAAATTTTATGTCAATGAATGTATTATGATGTCTGGTTGGGTTACAAGTACGATTTCAAGCCTGAAATAGTTTTGGATAGCTCTACCATTGGAATCTAATTGAAAAAATAGAATGACGCATAATTTTTTTTTTCCATTGATTAGTTTGTATATTTGTTATGGTAATTACAAAAATAATCCACTTTCTTATTTTTATGTAATTTGATATCATGAAAATTTGTGTA